TTTTTTTTTTTTTTTTTTTTTTTTTTTCTGTGTCTGTGTAGACTTAGACTTTCAAGTCTGTGGTGTGAAAAGGACCTTCCCAGGTGCTGGGGAGATGGCTCAGGGGCAGGACCCAGCACCCACATGGCAGCCAACAGCTGTCTGTAACTCCAGCTCCAGGGGATCCAGTGCCCTCTTCTGGCTTCCACGACCTCCTGCACACACGTGGTGCACGTACATACATTTTCCTGCACCACACGCACACGTTGAGAAAGTAAGTAAACAAATACTTCAAGAAGGGGGCCTCCCCTTTTTGAGAGTGACACCCTGACTCTTGTCCTCACAGCATTGACTTGGGCAAGGCGAGTGAGCCCAACCGTGTGGAACTGGGGCGCAAGGACGATGCCAAAGTCCACAAGATGTTCCTGGACCACACTGGTGAGTGGTGCTGGGGCTCTGCGGAGGGCGCCCGCCCGGCCCGCATGGGAGGGAGCAGCTATGCCCACTCAGGTGCCATTTTCTGTCCGCTGCAGGCTCTCACCTCCTGATTGCCCTGAGCACCACCGAGGTCCTTTACATGAACCGCAACGGACAGAAGGCCCGGCCCCTGGCACGCTGGAAGGGACAGCTGGTGGAGAGCGTAGGTTGGAACAAAGCACTGGGCAACGAGAGCAGCACCGGCCCCATCCTGGTCGGCACGGCGCAGGGACAGATCTTCGAGGCCGAGCTGTCCGCCAGCGAAGGGGGCCTCTTCGGCCCGGCGCCGGACCTCTACTTCCGTCCGCTCTACGTGTTAAATGAAGAAGGGGGCCCAGCCCCCGTGTGCTCCCTCGAGGCCGAGCGCGGCCCCGACGGCCGGGGCTTTGTCATCGCCACCACCCGGCAGCGCCTCTTCCAGTTCATAGGCCGGGCCGCGGACGACGCCGAGGCCCAAGGCTTCTCGGGCCTCTTCGCCGCCTACGCGGACCACCCACCGCCGTTCCGGGAGTTCCCGAGCAACCTGGGCTACAGCGAGCTGGCGCTCTACACCCCCAAGCTCCGCTCGGCCCCCCGCGCCTTCGCCTGGATGATGGGGGACGGCGTGCTGTACGGCGCCCTGGACTGCGGGCGCCCCGACTCCCTGCTGAGCGAGGAGCGGGTGTGGGAGTACCCGGCGGGGGTGGGGCCCGGGGCCAGCCCGCCCCTCGCCCTCGTCCTCACCCAGTTCCATTTCCTGCTGCTGCTGGCCGACCGGGTGGAGGCCGTGTGCACCCTGACCGGCCAGGTGGTGCTGCGGGACCACTTCCTGGAGAAGTTCGGACCCCTGCGGCACATGGCGAAGGACTGGTCCACGGGTCACCTGTGGGCCCACACGGAGCGCGCCGTCTTCCGCTACCACGTGCAGCGCGAGGCCCGGGACGTGTGGCGCACCTACCTGGACATGAACCGCTTTGACCTGGCCAAGGAGTACTGCCGGGAGCGGCCCGACTGCCTGGACACGGTCCTGGCCCGGGAGGCCGACTTCTGCTTCCGCCAGCACCGCTACCTGGAGAGCGCCCGCTGCTACGCCCTGACCCAGAGCTACTTCGAGGAGATCGCCCTCAAGTTTCTGGAAGCCCGGCAGGAGGAGGCGCTGGCCGAGTTCCTGCAGCGGAAACTGGCCAGCCTGAAGCCAACCGAGCGGACCCAGGCCACGCTGCTGACCACGTGGCTGACGGAGCTCTACCTGAGCCGCCTGGGTGCCCTGCAGGGCGACCCCGATGCTCTGAGTCTCTACCGAGATACACGGGAGTGCTTCCGCACCTTTCTCAGCAGCCCTCGGCACAAAGAGTGGCTCTTCGCCAGCCGGGCCTCCATCCACGAGCTGCTGGCCAGCCACGGGGACACAGAGCACATGGTCTTCTTTGCGGTGATCCTGCAGGACTACGAGCGGGTGGTGGCCTACCACTGCCAGCACGAGGCCTACGAGGAGGCCCTGGCAGTGCTTGCCCGCCACCGTGACCCCCAGCTCTTCTACAAATTCTCCCCCGTGCTCATCCGACACATCCCCCGCCAGCTGGTAGATGCCTGGATCGAGATGGGCAGCCGCCTGGATGCCCGGCAGCTCATCCCCGCCCTCGTGAACTATAGCCAGGGCGGGGAGGCCCAGCAGGTGAGCCAGGCCATCCGCTACATGGAATTCTGCGTGAACGTGCTTGGCGAGACCGAGCAGGCCATTCACAACTACCTGCTGTCGCTGTATGCCCGCGGCCAGCCGGCCTCGCTGCTGGCCTACCTGGAGCAAGCCGGGGCCAGCCCGCACCGTGTGCATTACGATCTCAAATACGCGCTCCGGCTCTGTGCCGAGCACGGCCACCACCGCGCTTGCGTCCACGTCTATAAGGTGTTGGAGCTGTATGAGGAGGCGGTGGACCTAGCCCTGCAGGTAAGTTCTTGACCTCATCCAGGAGAGGGGCCTGGAGAGGGCGAAAGATCGGGGGAGGTAAGGCTAGCCAGCCTGCTGCCTTCTTGAGGAAACAAGGGCTGTAATGTAGAGAGGCTGAACACTCAGACTGTAGCCGGGCAGTGGTCCCGCCTCTCTCATCCCAGCGCTCGGGAGGCAGAGGCAGGCGGATCTCTGAGTTCGAGGCCAGCCTGGTCTGCAAAGCAAGTCCAGGACAACCAGGGCTACACAGAGAAACCCTGTCTCGAAAAACAAAAACGAAAAAGCAAGCAAGCAAGCAAGCTCAGACTGAAAGCTCAGTGTCAGGTGCATGCGTGTTGTCTGTAATCCCTGTACTTGGGAGGTTAAGGTAGAAAGATCATGAGTTTGAGGCAGATTTAGGCTACACGATGAATCCCTGTTTTTTTTAAAAACAAACAAAAAAATTAGCAAGGGAGGGAGAAGGAGAAAACACAGACCAGAACATCAGGGCTTGCATTGTGGCCTCGCCAGCTTGCTGTGTGGCTTCAGGCTGGTTTCTGAGCCCTCTGTGTCTTTGATTATGTGGCCGAGATGCAGCTGGATGGCTCAGCAGGTAGAAGCCGATGGCGGAAGGGGAGAGCTGACTGCCCTGCACACTGCACTCGGATCACACACCCACCCTCCCCCATAATTACAATAAGAGAAAAATAATTATAATTTGTGAAGATAATGTTAGGAGTATTTTTACCGTATCGTATGAAATAGTTCTGTATAAATAAAGCATTCAGAAGCTGATTATAGTTGGCCACACAGGAAGTTCTAGGCCAGCCTGGGCTACAGAGTGAGACATTGTCCATATCAGCAGGTCTGAAGAGACGGCTCAGCGGTTTAGAGCAGTTGCTGTTCTTGCAGAGCACCTGGGTTTGATTCCCACAGCCCTCACATGGTGCTTCCCAACCATCTGTAACTCCCGTTCAAGAGGCTCAGATGACCTCTTCTGGCCTCCACAGGCACCAACAAATAAAATAAATGGTGCCTGATACACACGCTAGCAGAAAAAGAGTCTAGGTTACATCTTTCAAACCATGACTGGCTACAGAGAAGGAATATTTACTTAGTTATTGGTGTGTGTCCCATCCGCACGTGTGTGCAGACGCACGTGTGGAAGTCAGAGGTCAGCATCTGCTGCGCTCATGCGCCATTCCCTGCCTTATTCCTTGGAGGCAGGGTCTGTCTCTAGACCTGGAGTTTCTGGGCCTGGGCTGTACTGACAGCCCTCAAACCCCACTGATCCTCCTGTCTCCACACTGGGGTTACAGGTCTGTGCAAGACTGTGTGTCACCACGTTATGTGGTTGCTGGGATCTGAACGTAAAACGTTGTTATGCAGCAAGTGCCTTTGACCATATAGCCATCCTCCTAGCCCTATTTGGGTTTTTGAAATAAGGTCTCGCTCTATAGGCATTGCTATGGACACCAAACCAATCTGGAAATGAGTGGCCAGCCCGTGCTGGCCTCAGGCTGAGCCTTAACCCAGGATTTAGAACATCGCAGCAGGAGCTCAAACAGTTCCCCATGTGACTTGCCTTCCTTTTTGAGACAGGCTCTCCCATAGCCCAGGCTTGCTTCAAGCTTGGCAGCTTTCCTGTCTCTACCTCCTGAGAGCCAGGGTGATGAACGTGTACCACCACCGAGCTTTAGGCCCTACCAGCTGATCTTTAAATTCACTAAGATTGGAGGCCAGCTGCCCCAAACAGCCTTTCCACAGCAGTGACGGGGCAAGCCCATACCGGTTTCTGCCGTGCCTCTTGCTACTCGCAGTGCGGAGAATCCTGCTTGTGCCGGGTTCCCCAGGCCCAGCTTTCTGTGGCCATCTGTCTTTCCCTAGTCTGCCCATAGGTGGAGAGCGGCTTGACCCTGATACCCATGTTTTCCCCACAGGTGGATGTGGACCTGGCCAAGCAGTGTGCAGACTTGCCACAGGAGGATGAGGAACTGCGCAAGAAACTGTGGCTCAAGATTGCCCGGCACGTGGTGCAGGAGGAGGAAGACGTGCAGACAGCCATGGCATGCTTGGCCAGCTGTCCCTTGCTCAAGATTGAGGATGTGCTACCCTTCTTTCCTGACTTTGTCACGATCGACCACTTCAAGGAGGCAATCTGCAGTTCACTTAAGGCCTACAACCACCACATCCAAGAGCTGCAGCAGGAGATGGAGGAAGCCACGGCCAGCGCCCAGCGGATCCGACAAGACCTGCAGGAGCTGCGGGGACGCTATGGCACCGTGGAGCCCCAGGACAAATGCTCTACCTGTGACTTCCCTCTGCTCAACCGGCCCTTCTACCTCTTCCTCTGTGGCCACATGTTTCACGCCGACTGTCTCCTGCAGGCCGTGAGGCCCGGCCTCCCCGCCTACAAGCAGGCCCGGCTGGAGGAGCTGCAGCGCAAGCTCGGGGCTGCGCCTCCTCCAACCAAAGGCTCTGCCAAGGCCAAAGAGGCCGAAGCTGGGGCTGCAGCCGGGGGGCCCAGCCGGGAACAGCTCAAGGCTGACCTCGATGAACTGGTGGCCGCCGAGTGTGTGTACTGCGGGGAACTGATGATTCGCTCTATTGACCGGCCCTTCATTGACCCCCAGCGCTATGAGGACGAAAACCTCAGCTGGCAGTAGGAGGTTGTCCCCATGTCCCCGTGTGGGTAGACAGGCAGGGATGCAGCTATCAGATTCTCCTGAGAAGGCCATACTCTGATTGGGTCCGGTCCCTAGGATTTCTGGGTCTGTGATTGCGGGGGTGATGGGTTCATGCTTCTGCCCTGAGGCTTCAGGTGCTTCAGGCCTGCCTTAGAGCTGCTCATCCCCCCAGGCACCTATGAGCCTGGAGAGGCCAGACGTGATCCTTCTACACACATACACACCCCTCATGTAACAGCACCTTTGTTCTTGTCATACCCCAACATGTTCACCTGTTCACCTGGACTGAGTAGCCCTCCTCCCCTTGTCACTCAGTAGCCTCTGGACCATGCTCAACGTGGCTCTGGGGCTCCAGTGTGGGAGTGCCCTGAAGCCAAGGACAAGGGAAAATAGTGACAAGTGGAGAACATTAAATCGTCTGCACTACAGTGGTGGCTCTGGACTTGATGGCTTTGTGTTGATGTCGAGGCTAACAGGATATGATCCCAAGAAGGGCTGGGCTGCTATAAGGTCTCCCACGAGGGGTGTGGTAGCGCACACCTTTGATCCCGGCAATGAGGCAGAAGCAGACAGATCTTTTTCGCATTCGAGGCCAGCCAAGGCTATGACCCCATCTCCAAAAGGAAAGAAAGAAAAACAGACCTCCAGGGCCCTGCAAGCATTTAGACCCTGGCACAAGGCCCTTCCCCTGGGGGTGACACAGGACAGCCCAGATCTTACTTGCTTCCTGGTTTCCCTCTGTCCTCTGCCCTAGAAAGCTCAGTGAGGGATTGCAGTAACCCTAAGCCCGCAGAGCTATTCTCCCCTCTGGCTGGCAGGTGGCGCTGCTGCTCCCAGAATGCTTCTGACTTTTGGCACCTTGGGCACTGTTTTCTCACACTAGTCTTACTAATGCTTCCTCAGCCATTCCCTTCCTTGTTGCAAGAATTTTCCAGAAGTCTGCACTGCCTGACTGTGATTCTAAGTCCGAATTCTCTGTCCAGATGTTTTTATGAGCATATGTTATATACACTCTATGGGTTCTTCGGCTTGTATTCAGCCCCTCTGCTGCCGCTTCCCCTTCGTCACCCACGCCTACTGGTCCCCTTCCTCTTCCTCACCAGTCAGCCTCCCTCTACTCTCAAGGACATCTGTGTGGGGGTAGTTACACTCCTGCATCCCACTGAGTTTCGGTGGGGTTGGTTACAGGAGCGCAGGCACTCACCAGCGTTTGCACCACCCAAGAAAACGCTTCCACCCCAGCGTCCACAGACTGGGCCAGTCCTGTGCAGGTAGCCACGGCTGCTGGGAGCTGCTGTGCAGCAGAAGGCAGGGTTGCCCAGCCCGCCCCTCCTGCTGCTGTCTGCTGCTGTCTGCTGCTTCTGCAGCCTTCCCTGAGCCTGGGAGGACACGTAGCCTGATGTCTCCTCTATAGCTCTAAGTCCCTCATTCTCTCCAGTGGCTCTTGTATATTTTGTTTGCCCTTCTGACAAATTGGCTCCCGGCCAGCCTGTGCCCGGCTTTGTTAGAGGCGCTGTCAAGCTCTATGGCGTTTGCTGTGTTTTCTCCTTGTCTTGCTCCTGTGACTTCGCCTTTCCTCACACCCCCCCACCCCAGACAACACTTTCTTCGTTGGAGCCAGAAGCTATATCCTAGGACACCCTGGAGTCTGGCCTTCCGGGGACAGCCTTGTCCTCTGGACAGGTATTCACAGTGCGTTATCTAACTAGATGCCTTGTCGGTCACGTGTTCCAGAGTAGAACAACATGAGTGTCCCTGTCCCCATGCAGGAGGCCAGCTGATGCAGCTTATGAATGTTCCTTCTCTCCTCCAACCCTTAATCCTGTCTCAGAACTTTTATCTGCATCTTACTGGATCTGGCCCTACCAAGGTCCCTAAACCTTAGAGCTGTAAGACCTCTTAGGGTATCTGTCAGCCCAGAGGGCTGAGCTGCCTGCACAGTGACTCCCAAGGGTCCTGTCTTCCCAAAGCAGGAGTAGGAGCAGGTAGGAAGAGGTACCCTGCGTCTAGTGGACACCCTAATCCTATTCTCTCAAGACTTGGGAGAATTTTCTTGTATCTCTTCTCCACGTGGCTCCTTTACACTTGGATAAAACAGGAGGCACCAGAGAGAAGTTCCTGGTTCCACACAGTCAGTGGGTGGCGAGTGTAAAACCTTAGTCCCCCACCAAACTGATTACTTGCTTGTGGCTTAGATAAAACAGCTTGGAAGTGCTGTCTGTACATAATGGGTGCCTAATACATGTTAGTTAAACAAACACTGCCTTATTGCTCCCTTCTCCCAGAGGGTTTGGCTCAAGCAGCCTGGGACGCCCCTGCCCCTTCTGTCTTATACTGAGCGGCCCATCTGGTCCGAGGCTGCTTCCTCTTTCCTGGGAAAAGGCCCCAGTCTTCCCTGGCACTGACAGAATGGGGTTCCGGTGAGTCAGGGCAACGGGAAGCCACAGCTCTTAGATCCCTGGAACCCAAGCAAGGCCTGGAATGGAGAGCAGAGAAAAGGCCATTGGAGCTCTGGCTCTAAGTGTGAGGTGGGGCCAAAAAAGGAGGGGGAAGGAGCAGTTGTGTGGGCAGGGGCCAAGATGAATGAGCTGCTTCTGGAGCCGTCACTGGAAATAGGAGGAGTGGCCACAGGCTGTGACGCTGGGACCGGGGCAGGAGGCCTGTAAACAAGGAAGCCACCTGGGGGAGGTTCAGGGCGGCCGCTGGTCCTGGGGAGCAGGTGCTTCCTGAGGCCCGCCCTTGACAGGGCCCTGGGGGCCGCCTCATCCACTGGTCCTCAGGCGCTAGGGGGCGCTGTGGCCTGGCGTCCCGGACCGAGCAGTGCTCAACCAGAGCCGCTAAAGGGGTGTGGCCACTGGAGAGTGTGCCAACTCGGAGCCCTCAGTACCCCCGCCCCGCGAGCGCACAGATGCCCTCCCTCCTGTCCCCAAAGCACACTGGCCAAGGGCACTAGCCCAGACACTGAGGGCGCAGGGCTCAGCCTGGCCAGCCTGGGTATGAGCTCATTCCTACCAATTCTCTGGTTCCTGCTCCTCCCCTCCAAGGCTCAGGTCTCAGGCCAGGGCCTGGCATCAAGTCTACCGGTTTGGAGGGGGCGCCGAGGCCACCAAGCTCCTGGCTTCCCTTGGTACTGCTCCCCCTCCCCCATTCCCTGGCGCCAGGGAAACAAAAGGTTAGGGCCCAGAGGGACTTATCTGGCCCCACCACCACTGGGTGGGGGAAGGGGGCAAGAGAGGTGCACCTCCTCTGCACTCCTGATTCTTCGAGACACTTTCACAGGCGGAAATTCCCAGAGGTCAGAGGAGGGAAACGGTTAATTCCTTTTATTCAATGCCCCCCCCCCTCCACACCACCCCCTAACTTCCTCCCTCCACTTCCCGCCCCCCCCTGTGTGAACAGGAAGTGGAGAGGAAAAGGCTCTGAGCAGAGTAGCCGGGAGAAGGAGGCAGGGAGTGGGCAGCAGGCCGGGTGCCAGCCCTGCCCCTCATGGTTGCTTGCTGGAAGGGCAGAACAACTGTGGCTGGGCGTAGAACCTGCAGCCTTGGTCGCAAGGGGCAGCTGAGCTCAGGCAAAGCCCATTCTCCAAGCTCCCTTTCCCCAACCTGCTGCCAGGCCAGAGGCTGCTGCCAGTACAAGACATCCTTTGCCCAAGCCCCAGCTGCCCTGATCGCTGTAGCCTTACCCATGCTTCTGGGTTGGCCATACCAAGGCTGAAGGGCAGCAAGCAATTCATACAGCCTCCAGTCCTGGCATTGGCTCCACCACTCAGCCCCTTGGCCCTGCCAGTCCTTTGAAGCTCAGTCAGAGCTTCCTGTTTGGGGCAGGCGATGCCAAGGCCCCTCCCCCACCATTGTTCTGTAGAGACCATAGGTCCATCTGTTGCCCCCATGGTGGGGCCCCTAGGCAGTACCACACGGGAACAGTACCACAAAAGACCCTGCTGGCAGCTTTGCTCATTGGGAGCAAGGCTGTCCCTACAGCAGGTTGAGGATAAACAGCCCTCAGAAGCAGGCCTGGAGGGGCCTGAGACAGGAGGATGCCACTGAGTTAGCATCTCCAGCCTTCTGCCTCCTCCTACACCTGAGCATGGAGATGTTGATATGTGAGCCACCAGGAGAGGGGCAACATTCTGCTGCTCAGACTCCAAAAGGGAAAACTGGTGGAGGGGGCAGCCTTTGACGGCTGAGAGATTCCACTTCCCAGTGCCTCGTGGCTGGTGACACCCACTCCCTGAGAAGCTTTGCCTTTGCTCGGTTTTTGCCTTGAAGTAAATCCTTGAGCTGAGCAGCCAGGTCCCATTCTGTGATATCACAGGATGCTGACTGACCCCAGGTGGCCAGCAATTGATGCCCACTGAGAACAAGCGAGGGCAGAAGAGGGGAAAGAGGACTGGTTTGGCTCCCAGGAAAGTGGATGGTGTTCCTGGTTCCCAGGCTGGCATGGCCAAAGGTCTGTTTGTGTTTCCCAGGCACAGAGCAGGTGCCATATTATCTCTGCAGCTCACTCATGCCACAACTCCCTGCCATGGGCCGATCTCACAGTTCCAGCCGTCTCCTCCACCCACACTTCTCCATGGGGGTTAAACCTCAGACATGGTCTACCCCACTTCTCTCACCAGATCCCAGCCCAGAACTCATCCCGCCCCTGGCTCTTAGAGGGCTGGAGCTCTGAACCCTTAGCTAGAGACCATAGAGTGTCGTGGAAACTCTTCTTCAAAAGGGGTTTTCTGTGGTCCCACAACACCTGCATTGATTTGCTGAGTGTCTGGTAACCGCTAGGATGGCAGGGGTGGGGTTCCATGCCTCCCATTCATTTGGCCTATCTTCTCCTTCTGAACTATGATATGTATGGGATGCCAGGATGCCCAGAAACTGAGTTTGGAAACCTACCTCCTGACTGACAAATGCTAAATCTAAGAAAAGAATCTGGCAGCTGACAGGAGGCTGCATCCAGAATCTTGTCCTTCCTCTGTGAGATTCAGAATCAGCAAGACCATATTTGTGGTGGATTAGCCATTGCCCTCAGCCTTTTATCAATGCTCCTTTTCTTAAAATTTTTAAGAGCTTACATTTATTTAGTGTGTGTGTATGTGTGTCCACACATTTGCCCTGGAGCACATGTGAAGGTCAGAGAACAGCTTGTGGGAGTCAGTTCCCTCCTTCCACCATGTCAGTCCTGGGGATCAAACTCTGGGTCATCAGATTTGGTGATAAACGGCTTCACCCACTGTGCCCTCATACTCAGTCCCCGTCACCAGCCAAAAAGGATTGAGCTGAGAGCAGAGAAGTGATCTAGAAAGAGTAAGTCTGAGCCTCTCCCCTGGGCTTATCAGCTATTGGCCTAACCACACCCCTGAACAGTTTCTTCACCTGCAAGATGAGACTATAACAGACCTTCAACAGCTGATATGAAGCTTTCAAAGCTTTTA